GGTAAATTAAATATTTTAATTAGCTATTAATTTGCAAAAATATATTTTACATTGTTAAGTGAAAAAATCCTTTTTCTCTTCAGATTGACAGCTAACTGCACGATCCAGTATATAGCATTAAGGTAAGAAACAATATATGCAGTGTTATATTTGTTTTAAATGTCGCAATGGTTTTGCGGCTCCCAGGTTTTTTTTTTCCTTCGAAAACAGGTCCAAGTGGCTCTTTATATCTTAAAGGTTGCCGACCCCTGAAAGGGAATCTATTTTAAGAACACCCTTTCTTGTTGCCTTAAACACAGAAGAAATTCCTACGAAGGTAAAGGTATTATCATTATCTCAATTTACATAGATAAGGACACTGAAGCACAGAAATGTTGATTAAAATGTGGTCATACAGTTAAATCAGTCAGTATTTGAATCCAGAGTCTGGCTTCAACACACTAAGAATGACAGAGCCTAAGAGCCTGAGGGCATGACAGCTCAGACCAGCAACTGTCTACCTCCAGACTTCTCATGTGATTCTCCAAAACTTGGTTATACTATTTTTAGATATGTATTCAGTTACTTGCAGGAGAACAACCCCAAATACATCCCTTGCCATATTTTGGGACATTTTCTTAGACTAGACTTTCAGATTTAGGTTTGAATCAACAGTTATGACTATTTTTTAGGTTTTGGCACATATTACAAATAATTTTCCCTGAGGATTATACTAACACTAGAGGCCCAGTGCACGAAATTCACACATGGGTCGGGTCCCTAGGCTTAGCAGATCAGGGCTGATCTGTGGGGCCACCAGGGGCCCCCCGCCTTGGCTGGCCTGGCACTGCCTGCTTGCCAGCCCCGCCCCCCACTGCCACCACCAGTTGCCTCCCTCTGTGGGGCGACAAGCAGGGTGATCAGGAGGTGGGGGGGAGGGGCAGAGAGGAGGGCGGTGGCCTCCGCTGGCACCTGCCTTGGCTGGCCTGGGGCCTGTGGGCAGCTCCTGCCTTGAGCATTTGCCCCCTGGTGGTCAGTGCACATCATAGTGACCAGTCGTTCCACTGTTTGGTCAATTTGCATATTAGGCTTTTATTATATAGGATAGCACTTTCACCAACATTGGGGATTGGTAGGTGGAGAAAAAGGGACCCATCTAGCACCCTGTAAGTAAACAAGAGGAAGAGTGGCTAAGAAGGGGGGACCACAACTTCTCTGGCATTATCTGCACATTAATCCTTGCTCTGGTTTAAGTACATTCTCCTCCAAATGGTAAAAAATAAATTTAAAAAAAAATCACAAAGCGTGTTTTAAGGCACCTTTATTCTCTAGCCTCAAATAAAGCTGTTTCTTATACGACATAAAAACATATACACTGTAAAAGATTCAGAAAGTAGAAAGAAAAAACCCCCTCGCACAATTCCAATCAACATAAAAGTAAACCATGTTTAATATTTGGTGTTTCTTGGACTTTTATTAGTCCCTATTTTCTCATGTGTAATTGGATTGTACTATAAATATTTTGTATTTTGTTCATTTATAAGCATTTCCTATTGTAAACATTTTAAAGGCTACATAATATTCCACCATGTGGATAAACCGTAGTTTAGTCATTTCCATATTGAGATCAATTTGACAAATAAATAAAAGAATTTGCAGGAAGAAGTAAAATAATCACATAAGGAGTGTTCTAATATATATGGTATTAAATAGCACAGAATGACCTGTGCTTTCCATTCTTGTTCTATTTTAAACATGTACAGACCAAAAACTGTACTAAGAGAAAACGATCCATGTCAGCAATTTACCTCCCTATTTAATATCTTTTAAAAATCTCATTATACATTCTAAAAATATGTAAGCAAGAGTTAATTTTTAGTTTTATTTTTTACACAATGAAAGGATGCCACTTAGAACAGGTTTAAAGTGTTTAAGATAGTTTTAAAACAGTTTCAATATAGTTTGAAGAACAGAGGATTCCAACGGATTAAACATTCTGATTAATACAGAGTTGCCATACAACACTCTACATACATTATACATTGTCAAAGAATTAGAATATGAAGTAACAAAAACAAAATTTAATTAACAGTAACCTTTAAAAATTCATACCAATTTTTAAACCTTTGTTCTTTGATGATTCAAGAGTACATTTCCTACTGCTGCCCTGTTCATCCTAAACATGCTTGTCAGCAAACCCTCCTGCCAGCTGACCTGCCCCTTCGTCAGCATGCCCTGCCTGAAGTTGTGGGCCTTTCTGTCAGCTCTGTATCACACAGTCATCTTCAGTCTATTTCCTTCATGGGTTTCAAAGTTTCTGTATGACACAAACATTGTGTTTGCAACCCACACAGCATCTAGCAGGATGCTTTGCCTATAGTGAGCATTCAATATATAAATATATATCATTGTATTTCAAACTAGTTCCCCCAAAATGGATGAGGGATAAAACAAAAACTTGTAGCAACTGCAATTGTCATTTCAAGAGTAAATTAAGCAAAAGATAAAATAAAAACTTAATCGATATCCAACCTTCGATGAGAAATTTACTGAATGCTTATTTTGTGGCAAAAACCGGGCTAAGTTCTTATAAATAGCGTTTAGTTCTCAGAACTTCAAAACAATCAATGAGGTAGGTCATGTTTTAAATGTTTACTGAGCCTGGGGATAGAGCAGGGAACAGCCTCTGCCTTTTGTGGAGCTTATTTTCCAATGGAATTTGCTAAGATCACATATATAATACATTAGCATTCCAGATTTATACATCACTTTATGTAAATATATATGAGCTTGGACAATTATGAGTTCATCCCAGAAATGGGTCCATTCTCAGGACTGACAAAAAGGTGAGACTGAAAAGCTGGAACTGAGACCCTGGTGGCTTCTTCAAAGTAAAAGTTACCCTGAAAAGCTACTCTGCCTTTGCTGGCAGCAGCCACCCTTGTGAGGGCCTGATCTTCAAATTTTCAGTAAACCAACAAAATTATATTTATAACATAATAAAAGAAACCATAGTGAGATGATACTATGGGATTGAAGAAATAAAAGAGTTAAGCCAAAACCGGTTTGGCTCAGTGGTAGAGCATCGGTCTGCGGACTGAAAGGTCCTGGGTTCGATTCTGGTCAAGGGCATGTACATTGGTTGTGGGCACATCCCCAGCGGGGGATGTGTAGGAGGCGGCTGGTCAATGTTTCTTTCTCATCAATGTTCCTGGCTCCCCATCTCTCTCCTCTCTGTAAAAAATCAATAAAATATATTAAAAAAAAAAAAAAAAAAAGAAATAAAAGAGTTAAGACCGCGCTTTTGTAAGCCAGCTAGTTTTCTATCATGCATATACATTTCAGTTTAGAGCAGGGAGAGGCCACATTGGAGCAGAAGACCGAACACATGGACTTTGGTGGCTCGGCACCGAGGTGGGTGGGAAAGTCTAGCAGAAGGAAGACATTTTCAGGTACCATCACAATTCAGGCAGCAAAGCAGTGGATCCTGGCTGCTATGCCATTTTGGTTTTATTTACCCCTCTCTGGAGCTAGACACAGAAGACATTCAGTTCAAAAATGCCAAGAGAACAGTTCCCAGTCTGAACCATTCAATGTGCACGGGACACATTCTGTGAAATACTGAAGGTGCCAAGGTTGATTCTGACAGCTCCCTCACTAGGCCAGTGCAAATGAGTCATTAAATCTCCAGGTCTTCACAACGAATCCCTAGTATTTTGGGGAAAGTCACCCAGTTTCCTTCAAATAAAACTCAAGCAGAATTTAGAAAGTGAACAGAAGATAACTGAAAGGGAAGGAGAAAATTAGTTTTAGAAGTTGCTTTCTGATTCAGAGTGGACAGAAAATTGCTTTTTACTTGAAAGCAGTACAGAGTAATTTTATCATCTACAATATTATCTAAGAAATCTGAGGTAAAAGGCAACAAACTTCCCAAATGCAACAACTTGCAAACAGAGAGACTGACCTGCTTTCATGCCCCCTGAAGTCTACTCAAGCACACCTAGCGAAGGGAAACCAATGCACGGCTCAACACAAACCAGAAGGCCTATTTGATAGTAGAAACCTTTCCTTGGACACAAGGCTGAAAAAAGGCTAAGGAAACTAATTTGATTTTTCTCCCCTCTATGGAGATATGAGCAGCCTAAATGATAAAGACACTCCAAGATTACTATTTAAAATATATATTTTATTGATTTTATTGATAGAGAGTTAGAAACATCAATGAGAGTCATCGATCAGCTGCCTCTTGCACACCCCCTACTGGGGATATGCCCGCAACCAAGGTACGTGCCCTTGACCAGAATCGAACCCGGGTCCCTTCAGTCCCCAAGCCGATGCTCTATCCATTGAGCCAAACCGGTTTCGGCCAAGATTACTATTTATACTTAAGGCAATATAAAAAGCAAGGTTTTAACCTGGCATTCAAAAAGTATTTACATCTTTTGGATGGACTAAAAGAGCTAAATAGTCTTCCCAAAATCTGTACATCAGGAATCTGTTTTCAGCAGGTAAGCCTATTTACAAGTAAGAATCTCTTACTCTTGTAACACTGTCCTGTTTCATTAGGAGAGAATATGTAATCCCTACCCCTGCAGAGCTCGTATACAAACTCCCCATAAGCCCACAGGAAGACGGACCTATCTCTACCAGAGAATCATGTACACGGCACATAAACACATACATACACACCTCTGTCCCCGCATACTCCAAAAGGCTGTGGATGCCTTTACTGAGGGAGTATGGTCATTTTTACACTGATAGGGATAATAGGCATGGAATAGTTTATTCTTACATGAATGCTAAATGAAAACGATTTACAACATCACTACTGTTCACATTTCAAATATTCCCACCATTATTCATCTCCAAAATAAAAACACCAAATTGCTACCAAATTTACTTTGGTTTTCACAGTATAGTGTTTCTGGACTTTTTAATGTAAACATTCTCAGTTTATTAATTTTTAGAGTAATGACACAAATTTAGCATTCTCTTTGGAGTGGCAACATTTCTTGTCCAGGTTACTTCATTCTTTTTCTCTTTTTCAAAAGCGCATCTCGTAGTGCCAACTGGAAGATAAGAAAAAGACAACTAATCATGATAAGTCTTGGGTACCCAATTATACTAATGTGGTTATATAAAAGTGTACCAAAATGGAGTCAATAAGTCATCTCCAAAACCTCAAATAGTGAAATATTCCATAACAGATCAGATCTGTAGCCAGGGTAGGGCCTCCGTACTGCTAGGAAATAGGCAAAGCTCTTTGAATACTGTTCCCACCCCATGGGACAAAAGCTCAAAACAGGAGCAGCTACTGAATGCAGAGATGGAGCATTAAGAATAAGCCCAAAGTTAAAAAAAAAAAAAAAAAAAAAAAAAAAAGACAACAAGGTCAATGTACACACCTTAAGTGTGTAATGAATACTATTCCATTAATTCCCAAGAACTGCTCTTGGATTCCTAGAAACTTGTAAAGACCTGCAGTTTTTGAATTTTAAAGGGTACGTGTTCTTTTGGGGGGAGGGAGGAGAGGAAGCTGCCTGGCTCTACATCTAAATGTTCTAAGTTTTTAAATCTTATGAATTTAAGTTATTGGCTCCTTGCCTTTAGCTCTTATCTGTGTGTTGGTATTTCTTTGTTAGGTAGGCAGAATAGCTAGCTGAATGTCAATTAAACAAACATGCTGACAAGGAACAAAGCCAAGTTCTGTATCATGCCAAAAAGGGCATGCTAAAACAGAGAGGAAGCAGCTAAAATGTAGCAAAGTCACAAAAACCTCGTAATGAAGCAAGGCCTATAAACTATTACTATTTCCTCAACCCTAAACTCTTACGAAGGGCTGGTGAAGGATAAACTAATGGAATTAATAAATTCAACTATGGATTTAAATTGAACTAAGAAATTGCAAATATTAAATGACAGCTTTCTTTTACCTCAATTTCAACAACTTCTATTAAAAAGCTGTCACTTTACTATTTACATAACACCGTTTAGAAATAGAAAGATTAAATAAACAGAGAGTAGACTTTAAATGGTACCTCAATTAAGTTAATACTGGCTTGGCTCCGACACAGACAGAGCACTGCCCTGGAGAGCTGGTCATTACATTCAGGCCAAGCATTTTGGAACACTGGTTCAGAATGTGGGACTAGTTTACCCTTGACTGGATACCCCGGAGAGTCTTTAGAATACAGTTTGATACACTGTGGTATACCCCCAGTAGAAACATACATTAAAATATAAATTTTTTTTTTACTACAGTGAACTGCTTAAATAAGCCCAGCATTAAACTAACCATAAAAGATAAAAAATAGATAAAATGAAATCCCAAAGGCCTGTAAGCATAAAGGCTTTGCAAAAGGGCACATACCAACACAGAACCACTTACTTTGTGTGCTTCCCTAAAACTGTTTCTGAGCTAACCACATATAATTATTGCTTTAAAAAGTACCAGACATATAATAAGCACTCAAAAATTCTTATTCAATTAATTTTTATACTATTGCTCACATAAATGTCAGAGAATTTCAGCAAGGAAATGACCTGCACCCTTTTACTTAGAGGAGAAAAAGAGACTCCCCTTTGGACAGATGAATCCCAACCAAGTCAGGTCTAGGATTGACACAGCCAGTCTTTCACCTCTCCAATAACACTCCCATTAATCCTAAGACACACAATGCGAGGTCTTCAGGAGGCACAAGTCCATCCCAAAAGTAAAGGAGTCTTGGAATGACAATCCCAAGCTTCAGGTTGAACTCACCTGCTTTTCTCGGAAGGAACGCTTATTTTTTGAGCGGACATTACCGCTATACCGCATCATCATGAAGTTCTTCTGTTTTTTCTTCTCTTTATTTGTGGAACTGGAAAATGGATTCATTTTGGTTTTCTTCCTTATAAATTCTTTCCGGTCTGTCTTTCCAGCCTATCAGCACACACACAGAAAACACTTCAGGAGTTACCTATTTAATATACATATCTCCTCCGTGCCAGGTGCTCTGCTGCATGCCAAGGACACAAAGATGAATGGAACACAGTCCTTGCTCCTCAGTGACTCAGTCCAGGGGAAATGGACCGTGATGAACTGTAATGGGGCAAGGAGCTCAGTGGGGAAAAAAGTCATAACTGAACAACATAAACTGATGAACAAAACAGATCCAGAGACAGAGAAGCATCAATTAGATGCTCAAACCTCAAAGGAAAGGTAGGAGAGAGAGGGGGTAAGGGGGAAAGATCAACCAAAGAACTTGTATGCATGCATATGAGCCTGACCAATAGACACAGACACTGGGGCTGGAGGGGTGGGGGGAGAGAAGGAGGGGAAAAAAAGTGGAGGGGAAAAAAGTCATAATTCAGCCTGGCGAGATCTGAGAAACTTCTTAGAAAGGGAGACCTGTGAGCTGTTTTTTTGCAGGATGAAGGCATTCGTGGAAAGGGGAAAGGAAAGAAAGGGTAGAACGGGTCAAGAAATAGGAATAGCATATGGAAAGGTGTGAAGAACATTGGTTTTTAAACTTATCTAAATAGGTTTCAGTACAAACAGAATGCAGATGGTGATGTGGAGTAAGGATGGCCTGATGCCTAAGACAAGCGAAGACACAGAAAATAAAGATGGAAATGTTAGCAGGGTGCAATCACACCATACTTTCCAGAGGCAGACTCCAACTGTCTGCTTTTTCATTAATGACTGCAAACATTCCCCTGCTTTTCTAACAGCTTTGGTAAGTGTTCTGAGTCTCTCTGATCCCATGAACATTTAACGGTGCTTCCTGTAATCTATAGCATGTTTTGGATGGTAGTTACATAGCTGCCTATAGTTGTTAAGCTCATCTAACTGAACACTTACCTATGCACTTTATTCCATGTTCAGTACAGCTTTATTCAAAACATTAAAGTAAAATACTACCATTCTGTGCCTATACAAGTTCTGGGTCATATTTCATTTCTTTGTTTTCTGTTTAAAGGACTAGGAACTAGAATGCCTCACTCACCATTGCAGTTGCTAGTCTTGTCTCCTTGTCAGACTTTGGCTTTTTATGAAGGCGTTCAATGTCCCGAAGAGAAAGCAACTCGCCCCTGAACGAAGGGAAAAATGTAACATGAAACAAGGGTGGAATTCCTCTCTCTCATACTTTCATTACCATGGGAGCTGCCCAAAGACCTAGATGCTGCTGTACCTGGAATCTTCATCACTGTCTATTTCGATATATTTCCTCTTCTGGGCTTTCCCCGGGGCAGCGTCGAGTTCCTTCCTCATCTGGGCCAGGCGGATTTTCTGGAAGTCTTCCTGAGTTAAAACTCGGCTGGTGCTGACGGCAGCAGCCTTGGCTTTCCGCTCGTCTGCAGGCATGCTGCTCAGCTTCTTAGCCTTTAAGGACATGAAGGCTTTTAGGTGAGAGCTCAGGCCCCAGCAAGGCCCAGCATACATTAGTTTTAATGAACATCGGAGTGATGCACTGATAGAAGGAAATGTTGAAACTTACGATTTCTTGCTGTTCTTCATCAGAGGAGTGGTGCACGTCAACCCACTCCCCGTCGCCATCTGACTCCTCACTGAGACTGGCACTTTCCCACCCATCTGTGTGAAAGAGAGCACAGGTAGTCTAGTGCTATGTGTTGGGTACTCATGGAAACTGGAGATAAATCCAGTGAAAGTAAGGTTATGAACCTCAAATAGATGCTCTACAAACCAAGAATTGAGCGATATTTATTGTTAAATAAGCCACATCAATCTAATTCATTGTAGGAGTGGGAATTAAGCAATGACCAAGTACCTACTCTCAGCTGAAATCTTACACTTTCTCTAACTCTCAAGACTCAACAGAAGAGGAACAGAATATCGAGTTAAGGCACCTTCCAGGCCAGTCAGAAAATGCAGCCTACACTGAAATTCTGAAAATCATCTGACTCCAGAGGCCACATTCTTCCCACCAAACCATGTACAATAAAACTTCACTTGTATAGTTATCTTGGCTACACAGGAAGTACTCAACTCTTCTAAGCACATTAATAAATGTTTTTAGAAACTAGTTAGAACAGTCATTCAGAGAACTGAGGTAGAAGATTTTGGATGTTAAAAAAAACTTGAAGCCCTGGCTAGTGTGGCTCAGTTGGTTGGGCATCATCCTGTACACTAAAAGGTCACTAGTTTTATTCCCAATCAGGGAATATGCCAGGTTGTGATCCCGATCCCCAGTAGGGCACATGCAGGAGGCAGCCTATTAATGTGTTTCTTTTTCTCTCTCTCTTCCCCTTTCTTTTGCTCTAGAAAATCAATAAAAAACATATTAAAAACAAACAAAAAACACCTTGTGGACACCACAATAAAGGGGTATTAGTGTTCTTAATGGAGCCATCCCAGTATCCTTTCAGAATCAGATACTTAAAATCTCAGTGGTTCTTCATCCTAAATAATAAAAACCTAATATGCTAAGTGTTTGGTCGTCCATTCAACCAATCAAAGCGTAATATGCTAATAATATGCTACGGCCACTCAACCACTTGCTATGACATGCACTGACCACCAGAAGACATATGCTCCAACTGGTAGGTTAGCTTTCTGCTGGGGTCCGGCCAAGATGGGCCGGACGTGCCCTGGAGCCCTCCTGTTGTCCCTTCCGGGCTAGCCAAACTCCTGTGTCCCTCCCCAGCCCCAATCATGCACCAGTGGGGTGCCTCAGCTTAGCCTGTGCCCTCTAGCAATCCAGGACCTATTAGGGCTGTGGTAGGCAAACTGCAGCTTACAAGCCACATGCGGCTCTTTGGTCCCTTGAGTGTGGCTATTCCACAAAATACCACAGCCTGGGAGAGACTATTTTGAAGAAGTGGCATTAGAAGAAGTTTTAAGTTTAAAAAATTTGGCTCCCAATAGAAATTTCAATTTGTATTGTTGATATTTGGCTCTGTTGACTAATGTCTTAGAGGATGTCAGATAGCTGGCCACTGTCTTAGGGGATTTCAGAGAGTCAGGTTTTGGCCTGATCCCGCAGGCCAGGCCGAAAGACCCCAGTGGTGCACAAATTTGTGCACCGGGCTTCTAGTGTTCTATATAATAGTGCCCAGCTCTTTGGCAATGGCATATACACAATCAGTCACGATAAGGCCCAACTCAGACTATGGTCAACTATTTGACTATTGTCTACTTTGTATTCTGTACTGTAAGTCTCCTAAATCCTTCAGGACTTTGCTCAATTTGCCTGTAAAGTCTCCATTGTTCTACCATTCCTCACTTATAAATTCAAAACAGAGCTCATGGGTCTCCATCTCCTTGAGGCCTTTTTTGAACCTCGGAGCTTGACCTGACCTCTCTTCTACCCGTATGCCTCACTCCAATTATAAATCCTAGTAACACTTTATTCTCAGTTTTTTTTCATGCCTGCAGGGCAGGAACCATAACATTCATCTTTGTATTGTGAGTGGCCAGCCCACAGCTATTATTTAAGAAAGCTTTGCTGAAATAATAAATGAATGAACAGGAAAGACAGGACCTTTAGCAACCAATGTGAGAAGTCAGAATGGAGATCCTCAAGCTTTCTTTAACAAATTCAACAAGCATTCTTTTTCAATAAGAGAATTTTCTGGAAGATTGCTAAGAACTAATAAATACCTCATTATTTTTCCCCCCAGGCAACAAATGAAAAACCATTATCTTTCCAAGTGACCAGCATACCATTGATAAGGGGCAGCCACCCTGACAAACATGAAAAGACATCTACACTAGAATGTAAGTGCCCATTTGATCCCCAGTGCTTTTAACAGTGCCTGGCATATAGTCACTGCTGAATGTTCAATAGTGTAAAGATTTCAAGGTCAGTACAGATATAGGAGTGACTATGTCCGAATAATGGTGAAATAAAAACAAACCTTCATCGTTTTCCACATTCTCTTCTCCTTTTTCAATTTCTAGAATTTCTGCTCCTGGGATGTAATCTTTAGCATCTAATTCTCCATATTCTTGTACTCTTGCTTCTACGGAGGCCTCTGTAGGTTTACCCTAAAGGAAAGGGAAATTGTTTTTAATATGGTCCTTAGATTGTAAGTAATATTCATAAAAACTATTTCCTAGGATTATGAATTTAGAAGGGAGAATTACAAAAAATGAAGTTATCAAATGACAAAGATCAGTTCATATATGCTTTGGGTCAATGAAAATTTCTCAGCCAGAACTCTGTCCACTATTTTCCTGTTCTCTTCTGATCCAGATCAGGAAACTGGAAGTTATTAGAGAATATCCATTAGGTTTCCCTTTTTTTTGTTTTTTGTTTTTTTGAGGGGGGTGGAGAGGAGAGAGACATTGATGTGAGAAAGAGACATCGATTGATTGGTTGCCTCCTGCATGCACCCTGACTGGGGGCAGGATCAAACCTGCAACCCAGGTCCACAACCTTGACCAGAATCAGACCCGAGACCCTTCCGAGCATAGGCTGATCCTCTAACTATTTAGCAACACTGGCCAGGGCTCTGTTCTGATTCTTAAGTCTTGAGATCACCATCTCTTTTTCTGTCACATATACCCATCTCTCTTCCCTCGCAGCTCCAAAGAGATGGTATCTGTCTGGGGATTGCCTATTCAATACTGGCATCAGCTACTGATTGATCTTTGGGATACCAATAGATTAATGATTAAACAGCCTGACTGATCTATAAGACTCAGCTGTCATCAAATATGTATGTAAAGCAATGGTATTCAATCAATTGTATTCTGAGCTTAAAGAACAGAACAAGGTATATCACCAATACTCACAATATAAGCCTCACAAATACTAAAACTCAAACTGTAGGATCACTCTCACCTTCTGAGACCACAACCTTTAGATTAACATATGCGTGCTTCACCTACCCGGAATTTCTTCTGTAACATCTGAGGATTCAGTGTTCGGAAGAGTTGAATCAAAGTTCTAGCAGACATCATTACATCTGTAAAATAATACCTTTAATTTAGAAACTCCAGAGCTAAGTGTCTTTTGAGATAAAAATGAATTATCCTGTATTCTTTGGTCTACAGAGACTAACATGCAACTTACTCTTATCTTTGTGTGTTTTATACTGAGCCAAGTCTTGGAGAAGTTCTTCAGTCATGGCTAAAGGACATCGAGCTGTTATCTCCTTTATTGCATTAATTCTAGAAAAGGAAAAAAAATTTAAAACCCCCAAAAAGCAATTTCATACGGTTCAATTTAAGGTGTCCTAAAAAGGGATAGAAGCTAGGTTTTATAGAGCTTAGGTCTCTAAAACTGCAGGATAGGAGAGAATGTGAGAGTGGACAGCCTTAGAGGGCTTTGTTCCAGAGAGCTTACTACCATTTCCCCTACCAGTAGTATAAGAAATAGTATCTTCTTTATAAAGTAAATAAAACCAGCATTCACTCGCTAACTCTAAGGGGAAAGGGAACTAGGTCAAATAAGAAGAGTTAAAGATCTTTAGAACCGCTATCCCAGCAATAAGTCCATAAAAAGTAGCTCTTAACATACTGCTTAGTTACCAGGACAGATTAGATAACTGTTAAACGAGCACTCAAACTCAGTTAAGTATTTTTTAATGAATCAAAAGGGCTACCGAACTGTCTCAGAATTAAAGAGTGATTCAACAATAAATCATTTGTTCCAGGGGAAGATCAGAATTCAGGGTAGAGATAGGAGAAAAATGCTGATTGCCAAATAATCATTCATTTGAAAAAGTAAAGCTAATAAAAAAAATGTTTAGAAAGACAAATATTTTTTCTCTAACTCCCTCCTCAAAATTCTGACCAATAAAGTAAAAAAAAATATCAAGCCTTGTGAGGAAACTAAAATATATTTTGAGGCCACACTGCCAGCTGAAATCTTCCATCCGGGTCATGTGAAGCTAACCTAGTACATTAAAAACAAATCCAGGGCCTCCAGCCACATTCTACATACCCTACTGTCATGACTTCCCCAGAGTTCTTGTCGGTAACAAAATTGTTGGCCACAGTCATGAGCAAGGATTGAATGATCTGAATTGGGAATAAAAGAAGAGTGCTGGTAAAATATCTGCACCTACTCAAATAATTGAGGATGACAAACAAGATTATTCACAGTAGGAAAATAGCAGTCCACCTTCAGTTTGGGAGTTTGATAAAATTAAGACTGGGGAAGACTTAATTAAATATTCCACTTTGGGTTTTAGTCTCTGTGGCTAACTTCAGATTAAATTTTGCTCTCCTTTAATGTCAGTTTTCAATATGAATTAAAGAAATTGCTTTGACCCAGGATAATCCAATCCAAATGCTGTTTTTTTTTTTTTGTTTTTTTTTAAATCAATCTTTATTGTTCATATTATTACAAAGGTTCCTCATTTCTTCCCCCCTCCACCAGGTTCCCACCCCACCCTCCGTCCCGCCCCCATCCCCCATTGTCCTCATCCATAGGTGCAGTTTATGTTCAGTCTCTTCTTCCCTCAATTTCCCCAATAGTAAATCCCTTTTCAGATAGTAAATCAGTTACTTAGCATTTTCTCATATCAATAATACCTCCACATGCCCAATGATACACTTCACACAAAAGACATTTCCCACTAGGTCAACCAGCCTCATCCAGGCCCCACCCAAGGCACTCACAGATCAACACCCCAGTCCTAAACTAACTCAACACATCCAGATCTAAGCCTTCATCACTTGATTCAGCAGACCCTCAAGTTCCCACGAAAGTTTCCAGCCATGTCTGAGAAGCAGCCGTGGGGCAGGGGCAGGCAGGGAGCGAGCTGTTCTGGGCCTGGCTGCTCAGGGCCTGGCCTCTGTTGCTCTGGTTCGTTCCACAACCAGTTGCTCCGGGTCTGGTCACTGCCGCTCCCGACCTAGTTGCTCTGGACTTAGCTGCTGCTGCTCCGGGCCTGGCCGCTCCCAGCCTGGCAGCCACTGCTCCGGGCCTGGCCGCACCCGACCCGCCTGCTCCCCCGGGCCTGGCCGCTCCCAGCCTGGCAGCCGCTGCTCCGGGCCTGGCCGCACCCGACCCGCCTGCTCCCCCGGGCCTGGCCGCTCCCAGCCTGGCAGCCGCTGCTCCGGGCCTGGCCGCACCTGACCCGCCTGCTCCCCCGGGCCTGGCCGCTCCCAGCCTGGCAGCCGCTGCTCCGGGCCTGGCCGCACCCGACCCGCCTGCTCCCCCGGGCCTGGCCGCTCCCAGCCTGGCAGCCGCTGCTCCGGGCCTGGCCGCACCCGACCCGCCTAAATGCTGTTTTAATCAAAGAAAGAAATTATCAGCTTTGTAAAATAATCACTACAAACTTACTGATATTCTTGACCTCCCATAAAAAAAAAAAAATGGCACTTAAAATCAGAATTCTCAACAAATTGTTCAAAACAAAGTTTACTTTCTATAGTAATTTTTTTTTTCCAGTTTCTATAACTAAACTTCTATGTATATCTCCCTAAGAGTTAAAGTCACTCCTACTCACTTAAAAAAAAAAAGGGGCGGGGGGTTGAGACATTAATCCCTGTGGGAAAAGCCACCTGATATACTTAAAGGTAATACTGCTATGCACTAGATCCAGACAGAAATAAGGGTTAAAACTTCTCACCTCTGGGGGTACTAGGTGATGAGATGCTTGTGCAGCAAACAGAAGAATCTTTGTTACTTCTAAAAATGTAAGAGGTTAGAAAAGTCATATTGGTTTATTGCTGTTTTCTGGCCTATAGCAAACATAGCAAGGACATTCTGCTTACTCTACATGGAATACTCCATCCCCTTGCTTCAACTGCTGCCTTATCAAAATGTCTTTCCTAACCACACTAGAGGCCCAGTGCATTAATTCGTGCACGGGTGGGGTCCCTCAGCGTGGCCTGTGGGAATTTGGCTGAAACCAGCAGTCCAACGCCATCTGCAGCTCCTGCCTGCTGCTCCCACTCATCCTGGCCCCACTGTGCCTGCTGTGGGCTCGTGCCCAGACAGTCCTGATTGGGAAAGGCTCGTACCACCAAACAGTGCTTGCCAGCCATGAGCCCAGTGTCCGGCACCCATCTGGAGGGGGATGGTAAGGGAGCCAGGACATGATCGGCCCTCTGGGCGGGTGGTGTAACACTCTTGTGGGCCCAGAATCCATCCTGCTGACATTCACACCAGTTGTTGGGAGCCACCTGGCAGCTGCTTTTATATCATTTCTTCCTTGTGGAATGTGGCTGCAGTGCCCAAAGCTGACTTCCAGGAGGCTGGTGACACTCTTGGGATCATGTCAGTGTCACTGGCGGTTCTGGCCTGTCAGTGCCTGGCCCGTTCTCTGGAGATCAGACCTGCAGGACTACTGAGAGAGGGAGTGTCTGCAGCCAGGCTGGTGGATTGCCAGGATGGGTCGTCAGTTGAGTTGCACTCCTGCTGTGGGAGTGCACTGACCAGCAGAGGGTAGCTCCTTCATTGAGTGCCTGCCTCCCCTGGTGGTCAGAGCTCATTATAGCAACTGGCTGTCCGGTCCTCTGTCGTTCAGTCATTTGGTCGCTCATTCATTCAGTCACTTAGGCATATATATTATAGATAGATAGATAATCTAAAATAGAACCTGTCCCAACACTCCATACTATCCTTATTTTGCTTCCTCTTTCCTCAAAACTCTTATTTTCAGGATCTGAGTACTTCATTCCCTTGTGACCACCCTAAGTTTCAAGGAAGAAATTGGCTAAATTGTGTTAATGTTACACTTTTGAAGAAGCTACTCAAAATGGTGTTCAATATAAACTTATGAATTGTTTATTTCTGGAATTTCCCATTTAATTTTTCTTTTTTTTTTTTTTACCATGGTTAACTGAAACTGTGATAAGCAAAACTGCAAATGATGGAGGACTACTTTAAAAGAAGACTTGTTTTGAGAAACCAATTTATTGGCTTATCCATCCCCACTAACCATAATTGTTTTTTAAAGTTAATGAGCAGAACAATTAACACAGAGAAGATTCTGGAAAGAAAATATAAGTTTCTCTCCCATTCTTTGAAACAGAACACATTTTACTCCTAACTCTTTGTCTTTACAAATTACAGAAGAAAAAATTCTGGCACTTATTTTAACCCCTAGACCACCAAAGGAAGATGTGAGTGGGCGACTTACCTCTTTGGTGGGGCTGCAGAAACCTTTGCACAAAGGGATAGAAGTTGAAAAGAAAAAGCTGTGGGGGAAAAATGCAAACTTTAAAATTTCTGTAACTACAGCTAAACTCTAGATTCATTTTTCCAAATCCAATTATATCACTAAGTTCAAATCTAAATAGCATCTAGTATAATCCAATCACCAAAACGCCACAATTATGCTTTTATTATTAGATACCAGACCAATCACTGGAGGAATTACTCTGAGCTGTATCTTAGAAAAAAAGCACACTACCGCTCTGGAGTATACCTAATTAAGGCGACATGGGTCCAGTTATTAAAGCAATTGCCATTTTAAAAACTGATTTTAGAGAAAGGGAGAGGAGAGGGAGGGAGGGAGAAAAACAATGTGAGAAACATGCATTGGTTACCTTCCATCTGGGGTTGAACCAACAACCTGGGCATGTGCCCTGACCAGAAATCACACCCTCCACCTTTTGGTGTGCAGGACAACACTCTAACCAACTGAGCCACACCGACCAGGGCAAGCAATTGCAATTTTTAACTTTAAGAAGAGGAAATTTGGAGATGGACTAGTCTTTATCGAAGTTCATCATGTGAAAATAAATTAATTTTTTAAATTTTAGCCACAGAACAAAATCATGGCCAGAGAAATAATAGGGAAGGCTTGGGTTCAATATATTATAGATGGATGTCCAATTGTAGTCAGTTGTGAAACTGTATCATTTTCATCAACCATGCTTAAATTACAGATCACTTTTAGTTATCAAGCTCAAATTCAGGTTGGACATAAAATTACCACACAAATATATTTTTGTATATTGGTAATCCTGCCTTAGGTCTGCAGACCATAGAGAAAAAGCAATTTATTCACTAAAGTGTTGTTTTTCTTAGAGAAAGAGAATGAGTGCGTTCATTTTTAAGTTGATCTATATCTAGACTGTTTAATTTTCAATAAATAAGCCAAATCTATTTTAACTTTTTTAATTAAAAAAACTTTTTTGAAGAAAGCGACATATTCAATGATTTTCAGAATAGTGACACTAATCACAAGAGCAAAATGATGGGGAACAATCTCAATGGTCATTTCTTCATGGCCTAAATTTTTGGGAATCTCTTCTACAATGCCATTTGATCCAAGAGTATGTGTGAAGTTTCCATATACACACACACACACACACACACACACACACACACTATATATATATACATTATATCACCAAGGAGTTCTTGCAGTCTAATTTAATATAAAATAAATGAGCACAGAATTCAGCTTTGCAAACATGACAATCTCCCAGTGGAGGGGTCTGGAAGTTAGGAATAGACAATAAAAATATGTATGTTGTGTTGGCTCAGAAAAATGTATATGTGAAACAAAGTTAAATAAGAACACAAAATGTCCTGCCCATAAACAATATATATACAATACAACATTCCTACTTATTAATAAGAAAAAAAATTTGAAAAATAGTATTTTCAGAGTAAAAGATTTTATTATTCTCTAAATTGTATGAATTTAAATGTTTTTTTTTTTTTGGAAAAATCAAGCCACTCTTCTACCTTAGAGGCTTTTTTTTTTCTTAGCAAGAATAATTCTGCCAAAACCGGTTTGGCTCAGTGGTAAAGCGTCGGTCTGCGGACTGAAAGGTCCCAGGTTCGATTCCAGTCAAGGGCATGTACATTGGTTGCGGGCACATCCCTGGTGGGGGGTGTGCAAGAAGCAACTGGTCGATGTTTCTCTCATCGACGTTTCTAGCTCCCTATCTCTCTCCCTTCCTCCTCTCTGTAAAATATCAATAAAATATATTTTTTAAAAATTCTTAAAAAAAAAAAAAAGAATAATTCTATTTCCAATATTAAGAGAAACAATGTAATTCAAACCTCGTGAATTCCCACCAATCTGGAAATGAGATTCATGAGCATCATCTTCACTTCAAACCTCTCCTTAGAGCTCTCTAGCTGCTTTAGTAGTTTTTCTGCAAAATCTAAAAGAAAGTATCAGAAAAGTACACTATGGATCCATGGTCTGCACAACATTATCTTACGGATGTAGAGAAAGGCAGTAGTAGTTAGATCAGCGACCCTGGTATGTCTGTACCTGAAGCCACTCTGCTGAACCAGGATGGTAAAAACAGAAGGTGAAAAGATTCACACACAGGTCAATACAGCTTCATAAATGCCCCAAATTATGTTTTAAGGATGCTCAAGGTTTTTAGCATCAATATGCGGAGTGACTGTTTAATAGGCGCTCCATTTAACAGTTGTTCTTCAACTTCAGTTTCTCAACATGTGGTCCACAGACCACCAGCAGCTGGTCCACATGGTAGTTTCTTAGAAATACAGAATCTCAGTTCCCAACCCACACCTACTGAATCAATTTGCACTTTAACAGGATTCCCAGGAGATTCTATATGCACCTTAAAGTTTGAGAAACACTGACCTAGAGGAGCAAACACTACTGTACAGAGTATTTAAAAGCCCCAATGTCGCCCAGCCAGTGTGGTTCAGTGGTTGAACATCAACCCATGAACCAGGAGATCTCGGTTTCATTCCTGGTCAGGGCACATGCCCAGGTTGCAGATTCAATCCCCAGTGTGGGGTGTATAGGAGGCAACCAATCAATGATTCTTTCTCATCATTGATGTTTCTGTCTCTCTCTCCTTCTCCCTTCCTCTATGAAATCAATACTAATAAAATAAAATAAAAAGAAATAAAAGCCCCAATGTCCAACTGCACCTAAAACCAACTAATCAGTCTCTGGGGCTAACAGGATCCACGCACCAATATAGTTTACAAATTCTCTAAGTGAGACCAATTTGCATTCCAGTTTGAGAACTAGTGTTATCTAGAATATGGTTTCTCCAACTTTTGATTTACACTAGTCAGTTTTTTGTTTGTTTGTTTTTAAAGGACACAAGGTTGTCAATTTTTCATTTGGTCAAGCACAATGTCTGTCCTACCATTGTTGTGTTGTTAAAATAAAAATTTCAGAGAGAGCTGTTCTTCCACATTTTTCTTATTTTGCTATGACTGAGAATCACTATTTCAGAACATAAACTAGTAAAAGCTACCACCAACTAGTGACAACTATGTATTTATTGATTGTCGATTAAGCCCCAGGGATCTTATATTCCCTAGTAATTCTGAAGGTAGAAACTAACTAGGCAGAGATCAGGCCAAGTTATAATTATAGTACCTTGAGGATCATGAATCAAGTGAATAGCTGAAAAATTAAACACCTCTGGTTTCTTCTTCTTCTTTTGTTTCTGAAACAAAGGGAAAGGAAAAGCAGTTACCTTCTGAATTACAGTAATGAGGCCCTTGGGGTTAAAGATGTGCTAATGTGCTAAAAGTTGTCATCAAGTCCACCATACTGTTTAAAAAAAGACAAAATCTTTCATAAAAAGAGCATAGTTAGTTTTTGTCTTTTAAGATTCACCAGTAAAACTGAAAGGAATTTGGCAATACAAAAATTAACCACGTAAGGGCCAAATTAATGATTTTCAGAATAATCATTATAAAATATAAAATGTACTCTTCTGAGATGATATGCCTACCAAAGATATCCTAATACAGGTCATCGCAATCAGAACAAGTGAAAAGTAAATTTAATCTAATTTATTCAAGTCACAGATTTTGCTAGAGCTGAAAATTAAATTCATCCCAAAATTAGTGCTTAAAAACTCATTACACATTTCTAAGTCTTTCAGAAATGTGCTTTATTTCAAATTTTTAAAAACTTTTGCTAAAAACCTTTTCTACATTCTAATGATTCCTACCCTCATTTCCCAGGTACAATTCTCACCTTGAGCACTTTCATAGCCTTTTCCAACTTTTTCTTGTTTTTAGAGCTTTTCTTCCCTGTGGCATATTGCACTAGCAGGTCTCTTGCTGTTGGTCCTTCATCCTAAAAAACAAACAAACAAAAAAAACCTACTTTGTAAAACTGTAAATAAGGAAAGTCTGCATTGAAGGTAAGAGTTAATCCTTTCAACCACTTCTTTGTACTTATACTCTTTGAACACAGCCATTAAAAATGAACAGGATTTCTAAAATTCAATAAAAAATATTTTCCCATGTGCACAAACAGGCATAAACAAAGATTTTGACTGCAGCAATGATTTTTACCTTTGTATTTTCATTTTTAAAAAATATCAATGTTTTAAAAATGTATCTTTATTGTTGAAAGTATTTCAGATGTCCCTCTTTTTCCCCCATTGACCTCCTCCACCCGGTACCTCTCCCCGGCCCAGACTTCATCACACTATTGTCTGTGTCCATAGGTTATGCATATAAATTTTTTGGTTAATCTCTCTCCACCCATCCTTGCTTTCCCTTTGAGATTCATCAGTCTGTTCCATGCTTCTATGTCTCTGGACCTTTTTTGTTCATCAGTTTATTTTGTTCATTAGATTCCACATATGAGTGAGATCATGTGATACTTGTCTTTCTTTAGCTTATTTTACTTAGCATAATACTCTCCAGGTCCCTCTATGCTGTCTCAAAGCATAAGAGATCCTTCTTTTTTAATTTTCCTTTTAATTTTTATTGAAGTATCGATATAATATATTGACAGATTGCAACTTTGCTCTAATTTGAAAAAAAAAAGAACTGTAAACAATTATTTATGAACAGGAAAATGTTTAAACTATAATATATTCATATTCAGAAATATGATGTGGAGATTAAAAGCATATAGGAGAGCCCTGACCGGTTTGGCTCGGTGGATAGAGTGTCAGCCTGTGGACTGAAAGGTCCTAGGTTCGATTCCCATCAAAGGCATGTACACTGGTTGCGGACACATCCCAGTAGGGGGTGTGCAGGAGGCAGCTGATCGATGCTTCTAACTATCTCTCTCCTTTCTTCTCTGTAAAAAATCAATATAATATATTTTGGGGGGAAAAAAGAAAAGGAAAAAAAAAAAGTATATGGCAGAGAGAACAAAATACAAACAGAGGAATGGATACAGGGAACAAATTGACAAAGGCCAGAGAAGAAGGGGGTGGAGATGGAGGTGGGGAGGACTGGAAAGAAGGTGAAGAGATCAGCCAAAGAACATATATGCATAACCTTCCCTTCTTCCTTCCTTCCCTCCTTCCACATCGCCCCCTGGTGGTCAGCACACATCATCTCGAGCAGTCAAATTCCCAGTAGGTAGAACTCCCGAAGGGACAATTTGCATATTAGCTTTTAATTATATAGTATTCCAGTATTCTTATAAAAATGCTAAAATGGGAAGGGAAATTTTTCCTCCTTTTAAGTTTAATTAAAAGTACTTTTTAATTAATAAAATTTCATAACATCATATATCTTGATTTTTCCTTTTAAAGATACCACAATATTACTCCTCTCCACTCCCCCACCTTGAACTACTATGATGATGTTAATGCTCACCTCAAAAATGTGTTGGCACAATTTTAATTCTAAGTTTATATAGTGAGGTATAGTAACTGCTTTAGAATAACAAGGGTGAATGAATCTAAGTTTTATTAGTTACTTAACCAATCTTACTGAAATTAAGTGACAAATTCTAAACTATAAAATCTCCACATGGCCGAACTCAATAAAGGATAAAGGTAATATGTAAATTCCTTTCTAATGTAAGCAGTCATAGATTTTACCATTTTTCTTGAGAGCAATAATGAAATCTCATAAACTGTAAAATTCAGAAGCATCTATGGTTAAACAAACCTCTGATTCTGAATCACTGTCCTGTTTTTCCTCTTCATCTTTCCCAAGGAAGAATGTTAAAGCAGCAACTAATATCTAAAGACCAATCAGAATAAAAATTACTCCTTCCACCTTACAACAAAGAATAAATACTTCTGTCTACTCTTTATATAAGTGTCCACAAAAGGATCTAAAGAAAAAATTAAAAATAATGGGATTTGAGCTCATTTTCTCAATTAAAATATAATGCTTTTATAACATTACTTGTCCTAAAAAATACATATAATTTTTAAAATCTTAGATAAAAACATTTAGGCTCTACATAGTTATCCTTCAAGTAGCCTGTCAAGAATTTCCATGCCATGGCTGGGTAGCTCAATTTGTTAAGAGCCTCATCCTGATACATGACAGTTGTGGGTTTGATTCTTGGTCAGGGCACATACCAATGAATGCATAAATAAGTGGAACAACAAATCAATGTTTCTCTCCTTAAAAAAAATGTCTATTTTCCCCCCTACAAAAAAGTGACATTACAATCCTTTTAATAGAAAGTCAAACACATTCTTAAATATCTTTCAGCTGTGTCTGAGTCCAATAAAACAGTCAACAATTATAAGAAAAACATAAAATCAACACTATTGTTTAATACATAGCATTTAAAACACTCATGATATGTAGAATTGTGCACCTGAAACCATTATAATTAACCAGTATCATCCCAATAAATTCAATAAAAAGGGGGGGAGAACCTTCATAATTTTGTGTGACTCCTCTGTATACACAGAACACCAGTAAAATAAACTACAGACTCCCTCTTCCTCATATACCATTCTCTGTCACTCTCTGTGGAGAAACAGACCACTCAGACAGTGCCTTCACACAGCCATACAGGTGCTCACCTTGGTGACCTTAGAGAAACACGCAGTTGTTATCACGTTAACAGTTTTGGCATCATTCCTAGGGGAAGGCAAATGAATGTTATAAAGTAAGTTTTCATTCTATTGTATTTGACAGCACAGACAATGGCACAACATAAGTAATGTAATAAATATTTTTAACATGTTAGAATTCATAGCTATAATAATTTTAAAAAGTCATAAGTTGCTGTTCAACCACAGTTTGATTACTTAATTTAATACTAATTAAATTTAAGCTCAGTCTTACTTCAGAAAATTAGCAGTCAATAAGATGAATTGATGGCCCTGGCTGGGTAGCTCAGTTGGTTAGAGCGTCATCCCGATATACCAAGATTGCGAGTTTGATCCCTGGGCATCAAGCATGTCAAACTCGTGGCCCACGGGCCACATACAGCCCACAATGCATATTTTTGCAGCCCAGACAATATAACGGTATGTAAGAAATGTTTAATAAATTAAATTTTGTTTTTATTAAACATTTTAAAAAACTTAATTTTTACAATATCCTGTCATACATAGTTATTAATAACAAGCTACAACATTCACTAATGACGGATTACTATAATCGCATTGCATTCATTTCCCTTATGCGCCTTATGCACAGACGCACTATTTTTCTCCACTAATACTAGCAGCAAATATTTTAGCAGACAACTGCCATGTCATTATTCTTGGACTGCCTTGATTGGTGTGCGCAACAAGGAAATATTTCGCTTTCGGAGAACAAGAAAAATAGGTTTAATTGCATTGTTTATTAATTTATATAGTTACTCAATGTCTGGTTACTGTTCAAGAAAAAAGATTAATTTTTATTAAAATATTTTATTTTATGTTAACGATTACTCATTTCAGCTCTTTGTATTTAGCATGTCTCTATTGAAATCAACCTACATTTCTATGAAAATTGAAGCTTTAGTTTTTTTGCAGCCCACATAAACTTAAACCTTGTTTACTTGGCCCGTGTTAGCCTTTGAGTTTGACATATAAGAATCAACTAGTGAAAGCATAAAAAGTGGAACAACAAATCGATGTTTCTCTCTTTTCCCATTCCTCTCTAAAAAAAAATCCCAAGAAACAAAAAGATGCACTTAGGAAATTTTTAATGGTATAGGAGCCTATTTGAAGAGAAGTGAAACAAATAAAATCTATTAACATAGCAACATTCTAATAGTAAAAATTCATGCCAAAGACAGGAAGTATTATAAATTATTAACAGTGATTGTCTCTGGGCGGTGAAACTATCAATAGTATTTTAAAAAGACTTTTCTGGCTTCTTCAAATTTTCTGTTGCAATGAATATTACTACTTTTATAGTAAGTAAGTAAGTAAGTAAATAAATAAACAAATAAACAAGAAAAGCAAAAGACATGAGTTGGAGGCACCATACCAACAAACCAAAGTTCATAAAACATGACCTTTTACAAAAATAGGGTAAATTGACTTGAAAATTGCCAGAGTGGCAAAGTAGAAGAGCACAGATTTCAGAGTCAAGACAGAGCGGGGCTTGAATTTCAGCTCTTCCCTTTATTAGTTACTAAACTTAAACTCTATGGACTTCAGTGCCAATACCTATCAAATGTGAAAAATTCCAGATAAGCTGCATTACTTTGTTCTGAAGGGAGAACAATGTAATATAAAGTGTATGCACTCAACAAATGGTAACCGGTGTTGCTGCTTCTGCATTTTCACTTCCATTCTTACTCAAGATCAAGAAAAATAATTGTGCATGTGCTCTGTAGTAATTACAAATAAACCAAAGATTCTATTTCTAAAGCGACAAATATATATTACCAGATGTTTCTTCTATAGAGTTCAATCATCACATCCAAGGATATCTTAGCTGCAGTAGCATTGCTGTCTCTTAGCATGGTGTACATGAAATTTTGCAACACCTAAAGAAAAAGAGGAGAAAGAAGCCTTAATACCCTGATGGGACAATGCTGCAACATGGAAAACAAAAGGGTACTTACTACATTCACTTTATTGTTCTTATGTTTTGCATTTATATTCTTGATATCAGTCACAATGTGCGTGTATAAAGTCTGAGGAAAAGAAACAAAAACATATATACATATATTAACCAACATTTCAAACTTTGCTTAATTTGGAAAAAAATACACATACAAGAGTATTTAATATTATCTACTTTACATTTTATCACAAAAAGACCAAAAACAAAATAAAAATCAGCAGCTAAAATGCAAAAGGAAAACTGCCCTAAAAAGGTTAATCATGGAGTTACCAAATAACCCAATAATTCCACACTTAAATAGTCAAAAAGTAAAAACAACCCAAATGTCCAATAACCTATGAATGTGGTATAATCATACAATGGAATAGTATTTGGCAACAAAAAAGAAATACTGATATATGCTACAACATAGATAAACCTTGAAAACTTTATGCTAAGAAGCCAGACACAAAAAGCTATATACTGTATGAGTCCATTTATATGAAATATCTAGAGTAAGCAAATTTATAAAGACCAAAAATAGGTGGGTGGTTGCCAAGGGATTGGGAGAGATCGGGGGATGGGGAATGATTGCTAATGGGAATGGGATTTTTGAGGGTGGTAAAAATGTTCTAAAATTGACTGTTGTCATACTTGCAAACTCTGTGAATATACTAAAAAACCACTGAATTGTACCTTTAAGTGGATAAACTGTGTATGAATTATATCTCCATATATTGCTATTTTACAAAAAGAAAAGTTGCTCCATTTTCTGAGCTCCTAACTCCATGCAAGGTCATATTGGCAATACATGTTTCATCGGTGCCCAAAACATGTTTCTATAAATAACTTTTATCCCACAAGTTAGACCAAGAAATACAAGTGGTAAAATCAAATGGTGGCAGTCTCTAAACACTTTGAAAATGTGAACTTAAATTTTTCTTGCTTAAATGTTTTTTATATAAGTAAAATCAGCTTCTGATCTTACTTATATAAGCAAATTCAAGTCATAGGAAAACAGTAATAACAAGAAAGTTAGTTTCTTGGGGGCTGAGGTTGGGGTAGTTATGGCTATGAGTGTCCAATCCATGCTCTGATTTAGTTAGTCAGTAAAGTGCAGCGAAAAGGACTTGGGTTCTGGAGCCAGACTGCCTGGGCTTATATTTCTGCCCCACCACTCAGAATCTGTGTGACTCTGGGCATGTTACTCCACCTGAGCCTTTTCATCTGCAAAATACTACTACTACTACTACTACTACTACTACTAAATCCCATATCATTAAATGAGTAAACAAATATCTAAAAGCTCTGAGAATGGTACCAGGCAAAAAGTAAGCATTCAATAAATATTTAATTATTACTACCATATTGCATGCAAAAGAATGGCCGATTTTTTTCCTATTAAAATTATTCTTAACTATATCCAATAATGTGAAGCATCAAAACTTCACTCTACAAATTTTATGTTATTGCAAGGGAAAATGAGATATATGAAAAAAGCAATTTTTCTCTTTACCTTTCGCAGAAGCTTATCATGGCAACGCAGAAGTTCAAAGAAGAGTTCTAGTAAACTTGATGGATTGATGAGATTCTTATTTCTCAGCAAGATCAAAGCTTTGCAAAATGTCTCAGGAAGGAAAAGAAAATATACTATAAGATAATGATTAAGTTAAGAAAATGGAGCATGTATATCACAAAAGAGCCTATTAATCAGGCATCGGAACAGAGTCTCTGCCCTCATGGGCCTTACACACTGGGGAGTATAGAAAAAGAGAGGACAGACAAGCAAGTAAGCACATAAATAGGAGTATCTCAGATAATAAATGTCACAAAGGAAGTAAAACAAGGTAATATAATTTACACATTGTGGCTACTTTACACAGGAAGGTCAGCATCTGACAGAACCCCAGCGATCAATGAATCCACAAAGATAAGAAAGGTGGGTTAACAATAATAACATAATACACTAAACTGGAATAATCAACCTGAATCTGTGACCTGACAAGGCATTCTTTTTGAAGTATTGCTGGCCCTACAACTAAAGGTCTTTGGAAAGCTTATGTATACAGTTTTAAAATGCCTAAGGTTGAGTTCCCTAAAAGTATAGCCTGACTCATCACAGCAGTTTGTTTAGAAGGGAAGTAAGGCAGTAAAATAAGGTAGAGAAAAGCTAAGCAAGGATGTGTCCCTGGCTGAGATTAGCTCTAGTCAGATCACAAGCCCTGGAGTACAAACTGCACCTTGAGGGACAGGGTCAGGGTTTTATACCACTGGGTTGGTCAGGTACCAGCTGTGAGCTGCAAGGCCAACCTCTCAGATACTAGGTCTCCCATTTAGCTGACAACAATGCTCCAGAGAACAGGCAGCTGAGGCCATTAGGTAGGGGAAATGGATGCAGTGGCTTGGTAAACAGGATCTTGGCCAGGACCCAACATCAACCACTAGAGTAACAATATTTAAATGTTCAAACTGGCTATTTAATGAATAAATTTATTAAATCAAGCATTATACAAACCATAAGTTGAAATTAAAGTTCTTCAGGCATATGAGATTTGAATGACTAAAAGGAATCAACTATTCAAGAGAAAAGTACATCCTAGGAGGGTTAACATGCTGTAAGATCAGAAAGAAGAGTATAACTGAAGAGACAATGAGGTTATACACACACACACACACACATGCACACACAAGCAGGAAGCAGATCTAAGAACTTACAGGCTATGATAATACGTTTTAGTTTTATCTATAATAATAAAAGCATAATATGCTAATTAGATGGGACGTCCTTCTGGATGTCCTTCCTTCCTTCCAAAGTCACAGCAGGCGGGGGCTGGGTAGGGGTCCCCCGGCCATGGTAGTGGTGGCAGTGACAGGCAGGGGTCGGGGCCAAAGCCCTTGTACAAATTTTATGCATCAGGCCTCTAGAAGCCATAGAAGTATTTTAAGGAAGGGGTGACACATTTTGTTATACAATTTAAAAGATGTTTAGCTGAGAGGCTATTTTCATTTACGCACATATTATAAGAATACAAACAAAACAGCACAAGTTATCAATCCAAATACTGGCTCTACCATTCGAAGATCTGGATCCAAGACAGTGTGATTGTAGGAGAGAAGATCTTTCAACTCTTGAGGAAAGTTACTTAAATGTTCTGGGTAGCAGTGACCAATCTGTAACAAAACAAAGACTCTTCTGAAGTCTGTCTTTCTCTCCTATAATTCATATGCATATATTTTGAATTTTCTGCAAAATTCTGAAAAAGGAGAATAAAGACTATTTCATAGAGGTAGATGGTTCCAAATCATATATTTTTCTTCTACTTGTAAGTTTCTCCGACTTCTTTCATATTTCCTCTTAGTCTATTAAAATATATGTGAGATGATTTAGAATCTGATTTTATTATGAATTTGAAGAAAACATATAGTCTGAACGTTTTGCTCTGGGTGGGTCTGTGAAATCTTACAACTCACCACACAGAGAAAATAAATTTACAAAGAGGGAAAATTGCCTGGCCAGGGTAGCTCAATGGTTGATCCTCGACCTATGAACCAGAACATCACCCTTTGATTTCCGGTCAGGGCACATGCCCAGGTTGCAGGATTGATCCCAGTGTGGGGTGTGTGGGAAGCAGCTGATCAATGATTTTCTCTCATCATTGATATTTTTCTCTCTCTCCCTCAGCCCTTCCTCTGTGAAATCAATAAAAATATATATTTAATAAAGTAAAAATTAAAAAAATAATTTAAAAAATTTTTTGCAGGGGAAAATTCTTTTAAATGAAGCTTTCATTCCTGAATGGAATGAGGTTGGGTATTACTGGAAAAATATCCTGCAAACTATGTATAATAACTGGTCTTTGTTTTACACAGAAATTATTTTCTTACCTGTGCCATAAACATCACCAGCTCTGCCAGTTCTTTGCTGGGTTTATTTGGTTGTAATCTGAAAATCTCCACATTGGATTTGTAGTGATTATACTGCTGTAGAAACTGTAGAAAAACAAAATTTAAGTTAGTTACCTTTTATTATATGACTTGCTCAGTACAGAATGAAAAATTACACTTAAGTCTTTGATAGTGACATGGAGAAAATGTGGCAAAAGTATATAGACACTCTTTCCTTACCTGCATTTTCAAAATAAGTGTTGAAAACTTTATGTACATCACAGGTAATCTAAATATTCCTTTCTTTACGATTAGAAATTTAGGTGGTGTGGTATAAAGAGTGAAGCCAAGAATCAAAAACTCAGGTTCTGGCCATATTTTGACATTTACTATCCAAATGACCTATATTACATTGTCTGACCCATATTACATTGTCTGCACATGTATATCAGCAGAAAAACACCATGTTAGAAAATGTAAATTATGTATTTCTTATGTATATGAAGCACTCCAGTCAAAATTCCCTCCTTCTTTTAAATACCAATTAAGATTTTATCCTGGAGTTATAGGTAGGATGTAGTAACAGCCAAAAGCAATAGACACACAGAAATAATGATAATAGCTTCCATTTGTTCATCACTTGCTATATGCCAAACTCACTGTGCCCATTATCTCATTTAATTATGTTTAATCCTAACAACAATCTAACAATGTTGAAACACCAGACATCAATTGGTTCCATGTATCTACTCTTCATCCATAGACCACAGCTTGAAGTGTGTGTGTGTGAAAGAGAGAGTGAGAGAGCAAGAGTCAGACACTATGAAAATGAATATTTCTTAATACTGCAAGCCCTAAATGGTTAGTGCACTTCAAATCCACATATCCAATTAATCCAATATATAAACTGATATATCTGTTTGGATGTCTACCAGACATTTCAAACTTAACATGGTTAAAAAAACATAACTCTTGATCCCCAACAAAACTGGTAGGCCTTCAGCTTTCTCCAAGAATAGGACTTAAGATAAAGACCTGCATGCAGCCCCTACATGCTTCAGATAGGACCCTATCTCTCTTGACTCCCTACTGCCATTGACAAGAGTGAGAAGAGTACCCCAGAACTCAGTGTGCTTCTGGTCAGATCCTTATCCCACTTCTTTCCCAATTCCACCCAGCCCAGCCACCACTATCAAGGCATATTCATATACAATTTTACTTTCTTCATAATCCTTACTACTATAGGTCTGCCATCTAGAACGTAAGTCCAAGAGAAGAAGGGTCTCATATCTGTCTTATTTATCATTGTATCCCCAGTGCCTAGAATTATACTGACACATAGTAGGTATAATACCAGTGTGTGGATTTGCATATGCCTTCACCAAGTGAGTGAAAGGGCAATTTTCTGAAGACTTATATCTTTCTTACATATTAAAAAGGCTCAGTGATTAATGCTCCCAAGCTACACAATTGGTCAACAGCAGGGTCAGGATTAGTTAGCTCTTAAATACAGCACTGTACAGCTACAACTATTACTTCGTCAATAGTTGTGTATACAGCTTTACACATCTTAGCGTCTCACCTATTAATTTCTTGTATTTGTTTCTTACTCTTCATTTTCCTTGAAAAGGCTTTCTATATTGGTGACCTAGACTACTGAAACTGCTATTTGGTAAAAAGCAGTCAATTAAATATCTCTAAGTGAAAAGTTGGGGGAGGAGAAAAAAGAGAAGGGCAAAAGATGAGTAATTGTGTTAGATTGAACCAATCACAATCTAGTGAGGAAGCACAAACAATGGCAGCAGATGCCTAGTAGATAGCTCATTAACGCCTGGCAGACAGCGGGCGCCTGAAGAACACATCTGCCAAATTAACACAGTATTAAAATCACCGCTTTCAACTTGTCGCTTCTCAGCCCAAATACCCTTAATGTTCACAATATGTATGAAACCAGTATACAAAGTCCCTCGCAATCTGAACCTAACCTTAATTTTTAACCTCATCTTTTTCCGAAGCAAATTCTGACATCCAGGTCATGGCAGCTTCTGATACGACTGAATCCTGATTTAACAAACTATACTAAGTTCCTGTGTCCATCCCTTATACTCGAGAATGTCACCTCCTTTCCAACACAACCCACAACACAACACAACACGAGCGCGGGCTCTCTCGAGGCAGACAGACGTAGCTTGAAAGCATCCAGAGAAATGACACATCAAGTGCTACCAGTTGATTCAAGTTAGGAGTTTCTGAAAAGGCAGAGAAACCTACAGGAAGTTGGAGGTTGGAAGCGCGCTATCTTGTCTCTCTAAAGCAAAAGGAGGTGCTTAAAGGTCCGTGGCAGCGAGGGCTACAGAGCAGGTAGGAAAACCCGAAGGGACCACGAGCCTTAAAGCATGCCCCGTTCAGTAGCACCCGCGGCCAGCCAGGGACCCCGACTGCACCGCACGCCTCCCCAGCCCCACTCGTGCGCGGCGCACTCCCACCTCCTCCACGTAGGCCGGCGGGTCCCGCTTGATCAGGTTCTGCAACTGCGGCAGGTTGCTGGGCAGTTTGTTGTTGTTTCTGCTGGACATTGTGGCTGCTGACGAGCTCCGCGGCGGGCAGTTTTAAAGAAAAGAAAAGAAGAAAAAAAAAAAAACCTACAGTGTCAATTACCACCTGTCCCAGATCCAGACGGGAATCGTGCTTCAGGGTAGGACCGGAAGTAGCACGTGGGGACGCACAGCCAGGAGCTAGACTACGGGAACCTCCGAGGGTCAAATTACTTCCGCCGCCTTACCGCTCTGCGGTCGCTTTTTACGACACATGTATTCCTCGGCCAACCGCTGTTGCTATCAATCGTTTCTGAGACGTTATGAAATGCAGAGGTTTTTGGTGGTTTTTTTTTTTTTTTTCTTCCTTCACACACGTTAGTTTATTTCATTATCCCGATCCACTTTTGTGAAACAGATGAGGATTACTAGTTGGTTTGGTGTTTTAATCCCACAGCCTAAAGTTAGAAGCTAAAAATATCCATGGGGAGTAGATAGCATTGTCTTGTTTTTTTAAGGGGGTGAGGCGGGGATAAAAGAGCAACGGGAGGGGTAACTTAGGCCGGGGAGGGAGAGGGGGGCGGGTTCTGGTATAATTTTAATACGATTTTGTTTTGTTTGACGTTGTTTCATCTCAATGTGACCCCAGTTAAGGGAAAAGGGTGTGGATTGGATAAAAAGTTGTATCTTGATTACTTTTAAAATGAAAATTTATATGTACTGAAATGTCAACTACTGTTAGAACATTTGCAAGTACTCTTCAACCAGACTTTTAAATTCAGATCCCAGTAATCCCAAGAGAATACATTTATACAATCTCACAGTGCAAAAATAAGTCTAGTGAATGAATGTATGAGATGGGGTTTTGTTAACACAACAATACATTTGATCACTCTATGCCAGGCACTGTTGCAAGCATTTCAAGTGTACTCACTCATTTAATCCTGAAACAGCCCTCTAAAGAAGGTACTATATTTACCTTCACTTTAAAGATGAGGAAACAGTCTCAGACAAGTAGACTGCCCAAAGTCAGCTGGTGAGGAAGCTGGGATTTCAATCCAGGCAGTCATGACTGTAACTAGATAAGAAAGAAACAAGTAGCCTTACAGCTGTCAGTTGGTAACAAATTTGGCATTAATAGATGGACAGTGGTGTTCCCCTGCTTAAAATAAGCAATTTTACAAAACACCAACTTCAGTCAAGGTCACCTGTGACTGAGGCAAAACCAAGAAACTAGAATGACATCTGAGCACACACAAAATCAAGAACGCTGTGCAAACCAGGATTAGTTATTCAGTTGCATTTGGAGAATGGCTTCTAGTAATGAATCATTGAATTGAGTATTGTGTAGTTAAAAATGTATGCAATCCATATTTTATTGGAAAATCCGTTCATATATTTCATTTAAAATTCCTGTCAAAATTATAAGCTTATGTACCATGCATATTCATCATTGAGTCACCAAAGTGTGACTTGTGAATAAAATAGTCAGGCTATGTCACAGGCTTTTATTCACAATCCATATGTCAGGCACTAGGGTCAGTGCTAGAATACAAAAATAAATAAGGCATGGGGATTTGCCCTCAAGGAAGTCACAGATTAATAAGAGAGATGAATAGATAAATATATTTAAAGTGAATAAACGTGTTTTTATTTTATATTAAAATGTTTTTTATTGATTTCAGAGAGGAAGAGAGATATAGAAACATCAATGAGAGAGAACGCTTCTTTTTAAAAATATTTTATTGAGTTTTTACAGAGAAGAAGAGAGAGATGGATAGAGAGTTAGAAACATTGGCCAGCAGTATCTTGCATATCCCCTACTGGGGATGAGCCTGCAACCAAGGTACATGCCCCTGACCGGAATCGAATCCTGGACCTTTCAGTCCCCAGGCCAAAGCTCTACCCACTGAGCAAATCTGGTTTCAGCATAAATGTGTTTTTATAATAGTTCAGTGGAAGCAATAGAAAGGACAAGCACCCTAGAGGAATCAGAATGTTTCACCGTTTTTGGTAGTATTTGATTGAAATCCAGAAAGATGAGTTGTTCTACAGGAGGGAAAGGAAGGCTTTCTAAATAAAATAGCCTGTATAAAGGTACAAGGTCTTGAAAAAAAGTCTATTGGATGTAAGGGATGGCCAGAAGTTTGGTGCGACTGAAAGTTGGAAAGGGAGTGTGCAACTGAAAAGATGAGGAAAATGAGTTGGGTGAGGTTATGCAGTGCGGGTGATGAGAGGCTTTACCTGCTAACCTAACGAGCCCATTTTACCCCAAAACACCATGAAAACAGGATCTTTTTTATTTTTTATTTTTATAGATGAAAAAAATCAAGACTGAGAGTGGCTAACTGAATACAGTCAGCCTCTCATACCCATGGGTTCCTTATCCTTGGATTCAACCAACTAAAGATGAAAAATACTTGGAAAAAAAATGTTGCATTGTTGTTGACATGTACTATGTAGCTAATTACATATGGTGGTTGCATCTGTAGTTACATGTAGAGACTTTTTTCTTGTCATCATTCCCTAAGCAATGCTGAATAACATTTACACGGTGTTGGTTATTATGAAAACTAAAGAGATGATTTAAAGTATAGAGGAGGATGTGTGTAGGTTCTATGCAAATACTATGTCATTTTACATAAGGGATTTGAATGCCTATAAATTTTGGTATCTGTGGAAGGTCCCATAACCAATCCCCTACAGATACCGAGGGACAACTGTATGTATTTAGAGTGACTAACTGAATATGCATTTTTAAAATTACAAATAGTGGTTATATTATGTGTAATGTGATGTACATATGTTTAATGTATATTAGCCAAATCAATGTCATACTCATTTATATATTTAGTCTTGAGTGGGCGAAGGAAATTTTTATCTTTTTCTGATCCACAAATAATTTTTAACCTGAAGTAAATTATTCTAGAAAAGAAAATATCCTTCACACCTTTGCACAGGAGACACTATTACAATTGTAAATTCTGAATTCAAATGGATTAAAAATTTCTTCATTGAAGGAGCACAGATTAGAGGGATTGTTTATTGTCTGCCTTTCTGCGTTCTATTATGAGTTTAATGAAGATTTTGCTTTGTTCACTTCCTTATCCTCTGCATTTGGAGCAACTCATGGCAAATAATAGGTAATCAGTTAATATTTGTTGAATGAACAATTTTTAGTCTTGAGCAATTCTTCAATTGTGTGACTTACTAAAGTAAGAAATTAAAATGTCTTAGATATCCACAATGGAAATTTACATGTGAATTCTAGTTATGGTCTCTCTCACTAGAAACCAATGACATTGACTATGTTCAGAAAAGCCAGGAATGTGTCAGTACTTCTCTAATAAAAATATATTGTTTTAAAGAAATAACTGTAGCCACTGGAGGGAGCTCACGCTTTTCTTTTTAACAAGAAAATTACACCAATGTTACAATATGACCTCATACAAACTCATCAGGAAACTGGTACCAGGGGAAACTTTAGTTCTTTTCAAGGCTAGTTACAATACGGAAAGAGAACAAATAATGCGTATAAATGCCCCATTTCTTTCTTTACTTGTAAATCATTCTTGCTTGCTTTTCTATTTCTAGAAAATATGGAAGTTGTGGTGAGATGTCCTCAAGGGTTCTATTTATTTTAGAAAAACAAAAGTGGTGGGAATACCTGTCTCCTCTCCCCTGAAATGTGATCCTGGTTATACTATCCTCAGGGGCTTAGTTACAAAAGGGACAGCCTCTCCTCTGTTGTCTGCTCCCAGTCTGTGAGACCCACAGGAGTCACTGGGTTATTAGACTCTCACCTTCCAGCAGAGGAATGGAGCAGTGTGGGGACCACGTGGATAGTACTTGGCATTGCATTTGATAGAGAATAAAGGAAGAGTGAAACCCATTTGGAGTCTTTGGATTTCCAACTAATTGTTAACAAAATAATTTAAGCCTAGAGAAGTGGCCTTTTCCCATCCTGGCAGTCCTAAACTAGTTCACATGGCAGTTATTTTAAAATAAATATACTTCGCCGAAACTGGTTTGGCTCAGTGGATAGAGCGTCAGCCTGGGGACTGAAAAGGCCCGGGTTTGATTCCGGTCAGGGGCACGTACCTTGGTTGTGAGCACATCCCCAGTAGGGGGTGTGCAGGAGGCAGCTGATTGATAATTCTCTCTCATCAATGTTTCTAACTCTCTATCCCTCTCTCTCTTCCTCTCTGTAAAAAAAGCAATAAAATATATTTTTAAAAAATAAAATAAACATACTTAAAGGAGTACAGGGAGCGTCATTAAGGTCGGTATCAGGTATCTATTAACCAAAAGCTATGGTGTACTGGACGGACCAAGAAAGGGAATAATGTTTGGGGAGAAAACTTAGAGAAACATTAGAGATCATAATCTCTCATTCCTCAGTTTGCAGGTGAAGAAATTGCTACTCAGAGTGGTCGTAAGACTTGTCAAGGCTACCATAGCTACTTATGACTTTATAATATTTAAAAACATGTACTTTCAGAATATGTAAAAGGGGACTTCTTTTGTTTCCTTGGTGTCTATCTCATTGGGATAGGATTGTCCTTCAAATTAGGAAATAAATTTCATTTCACATAACTCTCATAAGTCAATGTTGTTATAAGGCATTGTTGTCACATTTTCCGTAGAAGTTTTCTTTTCTGTCCCCACAGAGCCCTTTAAAGGGCTTCCATTCTTTACCTCCATTATACTTTATCTGAGATGAGAGCAAATAAAGAAACGTGAGAATTACTGTTAAGCATGCAATAGTTGAAGTGTATGTTCAAGACATTAAAAAAATCAAGACTTGTTTTCTGATTAATGGTCCATTTATTGATGCCATCTTTTAACAAAGAAATTATTTCAGAGTATAAGGTATATATGCCAGTACTGCTTTGAACTTAATTATTTGCTTATAGAGTATATATATATATATATATGTAAATGATTAATAGCATGCACTTATATGTTATAAAATGTGGTTCCTGGTTATTAGTTATACACTACACTTTACCTGTGAGTTGTGTAGTGAATGGTTCACAAACTCTCCAATTAGGGAACATTTAGATTTTTCAAGGGTGTACCTGGAAGGAGCTAGAGTTTCATGATTAGATCAGACATGGCTTGGGTGGGATCACCACTGGACAGCACCGAAAATCACCTGTCGGTAAGGAGTAACAAAATTTGGAAAAGAAGGCATTTGTTTAAGTTCTGGCAAAAGACATCCTGTCCTACACAGTTCACCAAACCTCCTCTGTAAGAGTTTCCACACCCTGCGGAGGCTACGTGAGTGCCAGCCTTGTCTCCACTAACAGAATTTGCTGCTCCCTCCAGCTCTTGGTATCTTAACATCACCTTTCTTCAGGAGACCTGGTGGAATAATCAGTAATCACAATATTTTACCAATTCTGAGAAAAGTTTAATGACAAGAACATTCACATTTCCCTAAAATGAGTTTTCAAGAGGATGTTGGCGGCTTTCCTGTCATATCATAGAAAACTGAGGCTTGTCAGAAATTATACTGAAGAACTTTTTGTATGGGGTGGCGAAGGATTGGACATTGATTGATTTCTAAAGCTCCTTGTAAGATTCCCATTGTAAGATTCTGTGATTCTAGGTACCCTGTATATTTTAGTACTTTCTTCCATAAATATTTAAACATTTCTGTCTTATCTGCTCAAGAGGCTAAGTCAACATCCTGTCATAATAAGACAAGGATGTTGCATCATCCTGGGTGCTTTCAGGGATAATGGACTGAAGATAATGAGATTACCAGGGGTTATTCAATATTGAGTCTGGCTATAGATAGCCAGCTCCTGCTTTGAGGGGATGGCCTGGTTGCCCTCCTACCTATAACAACTGCAATAAGAAAGTACTCAAGCCAAAACCGGTTTTGCTCAGTGGATAGAGCATCGGCCCTCGGGCTGAAAGATCCCGGGTTCGATTCCGGTCAAGGGCATGTACCTTGGTTGTGGGCACATCCCCTGTGGGGGGTTTGCAGGAGGCAGTGTGGTCGATGTTTCTCTCTCATCGATGTTTCTAGCTTTCTATTCCTCTCCCTTCCTTTCTGTAAAAATCAATAAAAAAATATTTTTAAAAAAAGAAAGTACTCAAAATTTAGTCCCACAGTATATGAGGCACGGTGGCAGATTCAGGGAAATAAACTTGGCCCCCTGCCCTCAAGGAGCTGGAGAGATAGAATAAACACACACAAAAATTAGAAAATAATTAAGTGCTCACCTGTGTGGTGTGGAGCACAAATGAAATAGGGTTTTAAGCTAATTGGAGTGTCCAGAAGGTTTTATTTAAGAGGCAGGATTGAATTGAATCCTGGGCAAAGTGAAGATGAGTGGGGTGTTGGGGAAATAATGAGAAGGGAGTAGACCCAGGTCAGCAAGATCATGGCCTGCACAGTAGAGCAGGCAGGCACTGTGGTAGGACAGTGAGGAACTGGCTTGACTGAGGCAAAGGGGAACAACAGAAACAAAGTGGTCAGCCTGGACAGTCACATGGCCTCAACAGTGAGATAGAAGGTTCTGAAAGCTAAGTGCTAGTGTTCTCCAGTGGTGGTTCCCAGAAGCAACCAGCTTTTACCTCTCAGATGCATTGCATGGGAGGCCTGTAGGCGGATTCAAATACAGATGCTGCTGGCCGGGGCAGCTTAGTGAGATCCAGCTCAATTCCAAACTGCTTGGCTTCCCAGCAAGCTGACAAGCTGGCACTTGCTGACATGTGCCTGAGAATACGCTCTGAAAACTGCAGGCTGTGGTCTTGGAAGCCTAAGGCTGCTCTCCCAGGCAGCTATTGTGTGTGAGATGTGATTGCGTGGACTTTTGTCCACATGTGGATGTTACTAAGATCCTGCACGTAAGCATGATGAAATTCAGCTGGCTGTAGGTGGAAGAATAAAGACAAACTATACCCTCTAACAATTCTTAACATTTGGATTTTAAAAGCCACATTTTAGCTTCAATTACAATTTCATAATGATGTTTTATAATTTCTAGTCAGATTAACAAGCTTATGGATTAAGGTGCTGGAATTATTTCAGTGTAATTAAACAGAAAATATTTGTCAGTAAAGTGGTTGGTTATATAGTCTTCTTTTGATGAGGACGTTGAGATCGTTTAGCTTTTTTAATTCCCTGTTTTTTTTTAAATGTTTTTTTCCCTTTCTTTTGCTTCTTCTTTTGGCTGACCTGCAACGAGAGGAGGGGAAAGGACATTGTTTCTTCATCGGATCACATTCCCTTTCTTATATTATAATTGAACTCTCTAGACAGTGGTCCTTCTTCATCCTCAAAACAGGTTTAAAGTGCTTTACTCTCAAAGGGGATCCTTTCACTTCTTTCTTCTTCACCCACTTTGAGGAGGAGGCAACAGCCTTCTAATCAGTCTCCTCTTGTCCATTCTCCTGGCTCATTACTACCCTCACTCCAACCATGCTTATGACTTAACTGTCGCAAGTACAACTTTCTGAGGTTGGTACTGTTATCAATTACTTTTACCTATGGGGAGACTGAGGCTTAGAGAGTGTAACTTGCCCAAAGTTGCAGAGCTAGTATGTGGCAGAACCACTAGTCTATCAGATTCCAAAAGCCACACTCCCAACTACATATCTGTGTCTCTCTTAGACATAACGCCTCAGCACGTCATCCAGGACTCTTCCCACTCTGATCTGGTCTACGCTTTTACCTCAATCCCTTATTTCCCTCCATACAAACTCCATCCACATTACCAAAGGCTCCCTGAACACAGTAAGCTCTCTCATGATTCTGCCTTTCATGATGTCCTTGTCCTCCTGGTGAACTACTTATCCTTCAAGACCTAAATCAAATGTCACCTGATATGAAAAGTCTTCCTTAATAGTTTATCCCTGCCCCTCCCTTCAGCAAAATTACTTACTCCTTCTTCTATAATCTTCAAGATTCTTGTACATATTTTAATTTAATATTTGGAATTATACTTTAATTTATTGTTAGAATATTGCTATAGTAGGACGGTACTATATCTTATTACCTTTCTATTTTCAATGTCTACTATTCAGTTAAATACATATTCATTGTGTTAAATAAGAAAGATAAGCTCCCTATGCTCATGGAACCCACATTCTAGTGGTGTGATAGACAGATGCTACTCTATGCAGGAATATAACTATATGCCAAAGTGAGGACATCATTCTAGTAACAAAACAGGAATACAAAAATATGAATTTTAAAAAATGTACCTTTAAATACCTTTAAAGGAACTACAGAGATTAAATAATCTTCCAAAGTTAATTTCTAAGAAAAAAAGAATTTGTTCCTTCTTTTCACTAACCTGTTTCTCCCACTCTTTCATCAATTTTTTCACATTTGTTGAATCTGGGTTTAGACATGTTTCAGTCCCATTCTTCATTATAGCACTGCCAAAGTAATAGCAACAAGATTTTAACTTAAAAAAAAAAAGATTTAACTTTTAATAATTTAAATGCTTCCTCTTATCCTCAGAATTCAGTTCCCCAATTAGAGTGTACTTGTATCAACATTATAAGCATCTGAGAATCCCAGTCTTTTTTCCTGCCTTTTCATTTTCATTTTATTTTATTTTATATTTTTATTAATTTCCGAGAGGAATGGAGGAGAGAGAGGTAGAAACATCAATGATGAGAGACTCATTGATCAGCTGCCTCTTGCATGCCCCACACTGGGGATCGAGCCAGCAACCTGGGCATGTGCCCTTGAACTTTCAGTCTGCAGGCCAATGCTCTATCCCCTGAGCCAAGCCGGCTAGGGCAGCCTTTTCATTTTCTAATCAAACAAGGGCCTTAGAGAAATCTCTAGGATAGCACATAACCATAAATTTAAAAAATCTCACAGCTATATGCAATGAGAGAAACATATCTAAAGATGATACTGATTATTTTGTCCTGAAACTAGCTATTTAAACTTAACGGAAGAAGCAAAATAGAAAAGTTATCATATACCTACTTCCCCCCCCCCCCAAAACAATGAAAATCAGCATGAATTTTGCCAAATTTTCTAATGAAATTACTTAAAACATAATGAAATGTTATCCTAAAATAAGATTAACAGACTGGTTGAATTTTGTTAAATTACAGCATACTCTCCTTGAATAATTCAAAGATTTTTTCCTTTAATTTATCAATATAATCTGAGAATAAGAGCAACTAATCTATATATTATTCTCAATTTAGGTTTCAAAAGACTTAAGTGTATACATGTACTTTAACTTAGCAATTCTAATTTCTAGAAAGGTATTATTAGTAGGAAAGAATTCAAGACACAATATTGCCATAATAAGAGTTTTATTTCAATAGGAAAAAAATAGAAAATAGCCTACAATTAGCATTGGTCATACAGATTATGGTACATGCATATGATGGAATATAATTTGACCATTAAAAATGACCTGATCAGAAAAAGATGATATTATGACAGAAATGTACTGACATGAAGAAATGTTCATGATACAGTACTAATGAAAAACAGTATGTAGGGTATGATTTTATTTTTGTGTGCATATACTGTATATTGTATCTATAAATATATGTATATATTTTTTGTGTTTATATATGTACACACAAAGCAAATCAGAGAGATCTGGAATACCACATACCAAGAGATTAACAGCATTTGTCACTGTATTATAAATGATATTGATTTTTTTTCTTTTGGGTTATTTGCATTAAACATTTTTTCCAATGAACATATATTACTTTTGTGATATGTCTTGTTCCTAACCCACACCAGAAATTACTTTTCGGTTGTTGTTTTTTGTTTGTTTGTTTTTTCTGTTTGTTTTTTAGAAAAGCAAGAAGTAGGCAAGATTTGCAAAGGAGCAGCAATCTAAATTTTAAGTGTCTGAGGGTAATAATCACACTAAATTTAAAGTTCCTGCCAATAGGATGCATGCACGTTGATGAGGTTTTACTTACATGATTTCAGTTTTCTGACAAGAAGGACTAGGGGAAAACTGTTTAAGGTTCTTTAAGGATTTAAGGGGGATCATTCGTTGGTTGGTGTTGATGCACAAACAGCGTCCTTTCTTCACTATTGGGACTCCTAAGAGAAAGGGAATGGATAGCACATACCGGTTTAGGGCAATGTCTCAATTTAGGTGTTCCATCAAAACGATACATTTGACTTAATCATGGTTATTACTATCATTTCCTGAGTTTCCAATAATCATTTCCACAAACTTTGAAGTAGGTATCACTTTCATTTTATAGACAAAGAAGCTCAAGTTTAAAGAAGTAAAGAGCAAAGTCATTCAGCTTTTAGGGGTCAAGGAAAGAGTTTGAATCTAAAGGCATTGCTCTTAACTACCATATTCTACAACCTCAGGAAAAAAAGATTTTCACAATACTTAATAAATTCTTATTGCACATCAGACACATGGATAACTAATTCATAGGTGCACAGTTTCCTAAGCAATTTCCAAAGCCATTTTATTACATGACCTTGCAGTTGGTGTTGGTTTGGACAGAAAGCTCTACATATAATAACCAGTTACCACTACCAACCTCATCCTTCCCACTGCCTTGCTTTTCAATAGTGCTTTAAACTTTTGGAAATTCTTTAAAATACACTATCTTCATTCTTAATTCTTTCATTTATTCAACATATATATTTACTTAGTGCTTACTATATGCCATACATCATGAGGTAGATAGAAAAATCATAACTATAAAATATCCATTTTTCAGCAGAGGTAACTGAAGTCTAGAAATGCTCACTAATTTACTTAAGGTAACAAAGGCCAATAGTAAACAAGTTAAGAACAATGTCTCTGATTATTGGTTCTTTAATTGATTAAGCACAGAAATACTTGTCAAGAAACAATATGAGGGTAACAAAACTAACTTGAGAGTCTTTAATCTCATTATCTACACTTCAATAAACATTTATTGAACACTTACAACATGCCAGGAATTCAAACACCAAGACTGAGAAGACTTTTTTGATTTGGCAAGTCTAAGATAGGAACTTTGGATAATTAGCCACATCAAAGAGCTTTTATGAGTGACTCATATCACTTTCTGATGCATGCAATCACCTCTACTGGGCAATTCAAGAGGCTTTCCTAGCAATTTACATCTCTGAATTTATTAACCTAATGTGACTCAGAACCCCTTACCTTGAACTCCAATCAGAGTCAGGAAGATGATACCCAAAAGGAGAGAAACACCACTTTGCTTCATAGCAGTAGAATGGAATTCTACCGAGTCACTCCTCTGTTAGAATTCAAGCCTGGGAAATTCTTTAGAAAACATGCTATTGATCATTATATTTATATAGGAAAACATTTTCCCTCTGAAACTCTGATTGGCTAGTATTCTTAGCTGATCTAGTTAAACTGACCACAAACAATTGTGCTGGGGGAAATCCTACTCTCAGATCCAAGGGAATTTCTGCATGTTTTGTGTCCATTTCACATAAATGGGTGGTTTATAGTAAAGGATGTGAAACCAGTATCACTGGCAGCCTTGAGTATACTCACAGCTGCTCATCTAGGGTGAAGAGTAGATTATATAATGATATCATACAACAAGAGTTGGAAATGTGGTTTCCAGATGGAAAATACTGGAGTCCAGATAAGTAAAACTCTTCAAATTTCCTTACTATTTATATAATATATGGCTGACTTGTTTTCTTAAGATATGATAATTTCCTTCAGGACAAGGTCATTTCCTACTGTGATAAGCTTCCTTTGTTTTTTATGCTATCACTGCTATAGTTTATTGTTATTTTTAATGGTTGAATTAGTTAGAATAAGGAATCAGTTGAAAATAGACAAATGGGTCTACATCAAACTTAAAAACTTCTTTGCTTTCATCAAAGAAAACAATCAACAGAGTGAAAAAAAAACAACCTATGAAATGGAAGAAAATAATTGCAAAACATATATCTGGTTAAGAGTTAAGGCCTAGTCCCGGAGCAGCGGCTGCCAGGCTGGGAGTGGCCAGGCCCGGGGGAGCAGCCGGGGCTGGTGTGGCCAGGCCCGGAGCAGCGGCTGCCAGGCTGAGAGCGACCAGGCCCGGGGGAGCAGGCGGGTCGGGTGCGGCCAGGCCCAGAGCAGCGGCTGCCAGGCTGGGAGCGGCCAGGCCCGGAGCAGCCGGGTCGGGTGCGGTTAGGCCCGGAGCAGCGGCTGCCAGGCTGGGAGCGGCCAGGCCCGGGGGAGCAGCCGGGTCGGGTGCGGCCAGGCCCGGAGCAGCGGCTGCCAGGCTGGGAGCGGCCAGGCCCGGAGCAGCAGCCAAGTCCAGAGCAACTAGGTCGGGAGCGGCAGTGACCAGACCCGGAGCAGCTGGTTGTGGAACAAACCAGAGCAACAGAGGCCAGGCCCTGAGCAGCCAGGCCCGGAACAGCTCGCTCCTCGCCTGCCCCTGCCCCACGGCTGCCTCTCAGACATGGCTGGAAACTTTTGCGGGAACTTGAGGGTCTGCTGAATCAAGTGATGAAGGCTTAGATCTGGATGTGGTGAGTTAGTATAGGGCTGGGGTGTTGATCTGTGAGTGCCTTGGGTGGGGCCTGGATGAGGCTGGTGGACCTATTGGGAAATGTCTTTTGTGTGAAGTGTATCATTGGGCATGTGGAGGTATTATTGATATGAGAAAATGCTAAGTAACTGATTTACTATCTGAAAAGGGATTTACTATCGGGGAAAGGGAGGGAGGAAGAGACTGAACATAAACTGTGCACCTATGGATGAGGACAATGGGGGATGGGGAGGAGGCGGAGGGTGGGGTGGGAACCTGGTGGAGGGGGGAAGAAATGAGGAACCTTTGTAATAATATGAACAATAAAGATTGATTAAAAAAAAAAAAAGAGTTAAGGCCTAGAATTTATAAGAAAATTCTACAACATAGCAACAGCAGCAACAACAAACCTGATTTTAAAAAGGGAGAGAAATTTGAATAGACATTTCTCTAAAGAAGACATACAAACTGCCAATAAACACATGAAATGTTCAACATTATAATCATAAAAGACAGGGAAATGCAAATCAAAACCACAATGATATATCATCTCATATTCATCAGGAGATATATATATATATATATATATGACTAATACGCAAAGTGTACCCTTGGGAGTTTAACTGGGAGACTAGGAGTTTAATTGCTTGCTATGACATGCGCTGATCATCAGGGGCAGCACAGAATTAAGGAAGACCCTGGCCTTCAGCTGGCAACCAGGGAAGGAAGGTCCTGATCAGCCCTGAATGCCTGCTAGGCCTAGGGACCCTACCTGTGTATGAAATTCATGCACCGGGCCTCTAGTTAGAAAATAACTGTTGGTATAGATATGGAGAAGTTGGAACCCTTGTGCACTATTGGCAGGAATGTAAAATAGTGCTTCCATTATGGTAAAGAATATGGAGACTTTTCAAAACATAAAAAATAGAATGACCATAAGATGCAGCAATTCCATTTCTGGGAATAGGTTCAAAAGAATTCAAAGAAGGATCTCAAAGAGAAATTTGCTAACCCATTTTCATGTAGCATTATTCATAATAACCTTATTTGTAAAGGTGAAGTGATCCAAATGTCCACTAGCAGATGAATGGATGAAGAAAATTTGGTTTACACAAGCAATGAAACTTTCAACAGCCTTAAAAAAGAAGAAAATCTGCTGAAACCAGTTTGGCTCAATGGATAGAGCGTCAGCCTGCGGACTGAAAGGTCCCAGGTTCATTTAGGTCAAAGGTATGTACCTTGGTTGCGGGCACATCCCCAGTAGGGGGTGTGCAAGAGGCAGCTGATCAATGATTCTCTCTCATCGATGTTTCTCTCTGTCCCTCTCTCTTCCTCTCTGTAAAAAATCAATAAAAAATATATTAAAAAAAAAAAGAAAGAAAGAAGGAAATCTTGTCCCATGCTACAACAGGGATGGACATTGAGGAGATTATGCTAAGTGAAATAAGCCACACAAAAGGACAAATATTTACTTGAAGTATTTAAAGTCAAATCTAAAAGCAGAAGGTAGAAAGGTGGCTGCCAAGGGTTGGGGGAAAAGGTGAGGCGAAATTAGTTTTTAATAGGTTTCAGAGTTTCAGTGTTGAAAAATGAAAAAGTTCTAGAGATATGTTGTACAATAATATGAATATACTTAAGAATAATGAACTGTACACTTAGAAATGGTTAAAATTGTAAATTTTATGTTATGCATTTTTTTTTTTACCATCATAATTAAAAAACAAACAAAAAAAGAATAATGGCCTGGCTGGTGTGCCTAGGTTGCTTGAAGCATTGTCCCTGTACACTGAAAGGTTGTAGGTTCAATTCCAAGTTAGGACATATACCCAGGTTTCTTTCTAGTTTGATCCCCTCTGGGGGTGTGTATAGGAGGCAGCCAATTAATGTTTCTTTCTCGTATCGATGTTTCTCTCTCTTCCATTCTCTCTCTCTCTCTCTCTCTCTCTCTCTCTCTCTCTCTCTCTCTCAAAAAAAAAAAAAAAAAAAAAAAAGAAAGAAAGAAAGAAAGAAAAAGAAAAAAGAGTAAGGGGTAAGTTTCATATAATGGAGACCCAAATTAATAGTGGCTAATTAATAAATGCATTTCTCCTTGAAAGAGGCAGGTTGATTAGAGTGTGTATGGTGGTTCTGCTCCATGCAGTCTCTTAGGCTCTGTCTCATTGATTCACTGCCATGTCCAGATTGCTGCCCTTCTACACATGGCCCAAGGGGCTTTTCCATCATGTCTGCTTTTCAAGAACAGGATAGTGGGAAGGTAGAAAAGGGCTTGGTCCTCATTTTTAGACCCATCCTGGGATTGTACTCATCTCTTTCCATCATCTGCCATGAGCCAGAACTTAGTCACATGACCATATCTGTCTGTAGGGCTGGTTAAGAAAAGTGACCTTTATTCTGGTTGATCCCACTAAAGTTTGGAGGTTCATTATTATAGAACAATGCCTCTCAACTTTTTTTTTAATAGTTCCTCTCCTGATATTAATTAAATTTAAATTAACTTTAAATTAAATTAAGCCCTGGCCAGGTTGCTCAATTGGTTAGAGCATCATCCCAATACACCAAAAAGGTTGTGGGTTTGATTCCCGGTCAGGGCACATATCTATGTTGCAGGTTCAGTTAAGATTTGGGGCACATACAGAAGGCAACTAATCAATGTTTTTTTTCTCTCTCCTCCTCTCTCTCTCTCTCTCTCTCTCTCTCTCTCTCTCTCTCTCTTGTCTTTTTAAAAATATATAATTTTATTGATCTCAGAGAAGAAGGGAAAGGGAGACACAGATAGAAACATCAATGATTCTCATTGACTGCCTGCCTCCTGCACACCCTACACTGGGGATCAAAGCCACAAACCACGGACTGGGAATCAAACCATGATTTTCTGGTTCATGGTTGATGCTCAACCACTGAGCCAGGCTCTTACTTTCTCTCTTAAATCAATAAATTTATCTTTGGGTGAGGAAAAAAAAATAAATTTTTTCCTAAAGAAAAAAGATTAAATAGTCATGCACTGCATAATTATTTTTTTAAATAGTACAAACAAGAAATTTATTTACAAATATATATATATATATATATATATATATATATATATATATATGTTAGTTTAATTACTGTTTCTTATAAATTCTATTTCTATGTAACCACATAATGATTTTTTGGTTAACAATGAAGCACATATATGGAGGTAGTCCCTTCATATATGTTATAATAATGACATAATGATATAATGAGGTTATAATAGAGCTGAAAAATTCTTATAACCTAGTGCTGTAGCCTTGGTAACATCATAGTGTAAAGATTGCAAAAGTCAACATGGCTATGGTTGAGATTGCAAACCACCTTAACCTGGGTGTGGATGAGGATGACTCTGAGGAGCTCTTAGGAGTTGTTCCTGAGGAACTGAAAGAGGAGTTGTTGGGCCTGGAAGAGGATAGCATAGTTGAACAAAGGAGGCAAGAGCAAAGGGAACTGCTGAAGAAAAAAAAAGAGAAACCTCAGAAAAATCGGAAGACATCAAGATGCCGGCTTACCATTTTTCACTTATGGACCCCGATACCAAACTCATTGGGAAACATGGCACTGTTGCCCATTGGAAGTCAGTTCAAACGACCTGCCACTAGAAAGACAAAAGACACAGATATTGTGGATGAAGCCACCTATTATTTCAAGGCCAATGTCTTCTTCAAAAATGATGAAATTAAGAATAAAGCTAATAGGACCTTGATATACAC